AAAAATTGCACACAAAACAATCCTGATTTCCGACTGCACATTGACCTAAGCAACAATCGCCAGCTGACTAACTTTTCTTTTGACGAACTGCTCCAAAATTACGATCCAGATGGAGGCAACAGCCAGTGTGCCTTTTACATAAACTTTTCTGGCTCTAAACTGCACAGCAATTTTCTTCTTGACAATTTGCCTCTTTGGAAAAAGTTACCCATGGGAACGTTGTATATGATTTTCAGCAACATTGGTAGTCCTTTAAACTGCGACACTTGTCTCTACAATTGGTACTATAAAAATAGTACAGTAAGCAATGCTGACTATGTGCACAGCATCAAATGCTCCAGCTTAAAAAACGGGAGCATTAACTCACAATGGCTTGACCAAATGGATTTTGGGAATTTAAAACTTAATAACGATTGTAAAACGCCCTTGTCAAACAAAAAATAACTAATACAATGTAAACTGGTTAACAATTAAAATCTGTTGTATTAAAAAGTTACAAAAATATTTTACATTTTAAAACATACAAGCGAATTTCACAAAAATAACAATTTTCAACATATTTTTTTGTCAAAATTAAAAATTGTAAAGCAAGACGTCCTTTAAATTAACAACTTTGATTAAAAGTAAACGGCAAGCAGCGTTAATATGCTGCAGAAATACGATTAACTACCGGACTTTGGCATTGTTGCATGTTCATAATTCACAATATACAGCGAGCTTAACAGATAAAAAGTACAATCAAGTGTGACACGCAAAGCTGAGTTGACAATACAGTGTGAAAGTCAAAGTAAGTGTGTGAAAGTAAGTGAGTGTTTTGTGACACCAGTGGGATGAAAAAAGAATCCGAAATCAAGCAAGTAAGTAAGTAGATGGGAGCTCAGTAGTTCAAGTACTCCGCACCACCGCCGCCGCCGCCGATGATCAAACTGCTGCTGACGCTGGGCGAGGGAATCGACTGATTCAAGGTGAGGCTGCCCTGAAGGGGCGTGAATGGCACTTGAGTGTGGGCGTGGGTGGGCGAGTGGGCGGCCAGCAGGTGGGCGGGAGGGTGATGGCCGGCCAGGCCTCCACCGCCACCTCCCCCACCACCACCACTGGGACTGTGCAGCAGCGTCGCTCCAATGGGCAAAGTGGTGGGAGTGCCCACTCGACCGATAAAGCTGCCCGAGGGTGAGAAAGGCTGAGAGGGGGCAACACCGGAACCGATAGGGCCACCGTTGTTCCCCACAGGAAAGAGGTCATTGAGGCCGCCGGCGGTCAGGTTACGCCGCAGCCGCAGCTTCACCGACGGCCCGCCCTGGCTGATCAGCCGGACCGCCTCTGAATGTGTCAGTCCGGTGGTGGGGAAGTCGTTGATCTCCAGTATCTCATCGCCGACCGTCAGCAGCGAGGTGGCCGGGCCATTTGGGGCAATGGCGAGAATGAAGAGCGGCATGCCGTTGTACTCTGCGCCGCCGCGAATGGAGAAGCCGTAGCCGCTGGGGCCGCGAATCAGCTCCACCGTGTAGCTGTCGCCGGGGATGATGCGCAGGTGGAGGGTGTCGCCTGTACGAATAAAAATGGGTGAAAAATGAATGATTAAAGAATGAAGGACTAAGTACCTGACTCCTTAATTTTGTTGACAATCTCCGGGTGGGAGAGATTGGTGACGTCGGCGCCGTTAACGGCGATGATTCGGTCGCGTATGTGCAGCCGCTGACACCGGTGTGCCGGACTGTTCTCGATGATGCGCCCAATGAGGGCGCAGTTGCCGCAGCTGATAATCACAAAGCCAAAGCCCTCGTAGTCGTGGCGGTACAGTGTGACGTCGTAGGCGTTGAAGTACCTATTGTGTGTGTTTTTTTGGATGAACAGACAAACAAAAGTCGATGGTTAGAGTTTAAGCCTGACAGTCACTGATTTGCCCGATCATACTTCTTCCTTCGAATGACAATCCTCACTGCCGGTCCAGTCTGCGACATCAGCTGCACCACCTCCTGGTGACTGGAGCCGACCACATTGGTCTCATTGATGGAGATGATCTCATCACCTGCCTTGAGGACGCCATCCTGAAAGGCGGCACCGCCGATGACGATGGAGCCAATGGCCACATTGGAGCCCTCCTCAGAGCCGCCGATGATGCGAAAGCCAAAGCCGTTTTCATTTCGACTCAGCGTCACCTGCAGGTACTCAAAGTCAATTGGATCGTAGCTGCTGGCGTCAAAGTTGGCCGCCACCACGCTGGCCTGTGAGTNCGCTTTCAGAACGCCATCCTGAAAGGCGGCACCGCCGATGACGATGGAGCCAATGGCCACATTGGAGCCCTCCTCAGAGCCGCCGATGATGCGAAAGCCAAAGCCGTTTTCATTTCGACTCAGCGTCACCTGCAGGTACTCAAAGTCAATTGGATCGTAGCTGCTGGCGTCAAAGTTGGCCGCCACCACGCTGGCCTGTGAGTCAAGGCTGCCCTCCAGGACCTTTTCGCCGGGCGTCATCATCATCCCAGACTGAGTCTAGTTAATTAAACAAAAAAGAAAGTTATCAGTTAGCTAATAGACAACACAACCTCTTTCTCTCTTAGGTACCTTGAGGCCGACCGGCAGCTGGTAGGCGTACTCGCCGTACTGCGACCCGTAGATGGGCTGACCATTTCCCCCTCCGCCACTTCCGTTGGCGCCATTTCCGGTGGAGAGCTGCAGCGAGGCGACACTGCCGTACTGCGGCTGGTAGTACTGCTGCTGCTGCTGTTGGCCGCCGCCGTTGTTGGCGTACTCGGCAGTGTCCGTGGCGGCGACGGCGGAGGCGGCAGTGATCACCGCCGCCGCCGGGCCCACTGCGCTCCCATTGGCCGTGTACAGCGTTCCGATGATGGTGTTATTCCCGTTTGGCGGCTCTCCGCCCACCGCCAGCGCCGCCTCCTCTGCGAGGATGTACTCGCTGTAGTTCCCGGCCGTAGCTCCGTCGACGCCGGTCAGCTTTCCATAAGCAGCTGCTGCTGCCTGCTGTTGCTGTTGATAGTAAGCTTCCAGTGGTGGGGGCGGTGGGTGACCACCGAGTTGACCTATTCCTGGTTTGGGATAGGTGTTCGGACGAGACTGTTGCTGCTGCTCCACCATCACATTAGTGTCCATTGGCTGCAGTACTCCACTGGCAACTATTGGAGATTGCTGCTGCTGCTGCTGCTGCTGCTGCCCTTCCCCGTCGTCCATTGGCAGGGGTGATGACTTTGGCTGGGTGAAATGGGCGTTGTTGTAGTGAGGCTTCTTCCGTTTGATGATAAACTCTGTGGGCGTGTCTATCTGACACTGCTTCAACGTCTCCACGACGTTGTGGTGCAGCAGCGTCGTCAGGTCGATGCCGTTGATGGAGAGGAGAATGTCGCCCTGGCGAAGGGAACAGCATCGCTCGAGGTCGAGAATCTTTTTCACCTTCTGGCCGTTGTGGCCTTCGGAAATGGTGAAGCCAAAACCTATTTCAAAGCAAAAAAAGTATGTTAATTTAATATTTTGCTCAAAAATAATCTTCATCCCCATCCTTACCTCCCGTGCCCTTGACAATCTTCAACGTAATAATGTCGTAGTCCTCCTCATTGAAGCCGCTGGGCAGCTGGAAG